CGACTCACAGCAACCCTCTGTCCAACAGAACACAGCACTGCCTGGTGCTGCAGCATCCAAACAATCCTTGCTGCACCTGAGCCCATTGTTGCAGCCACTGTGTCAATCCATCTCGTTGAGGGCCTTCCCCTTTTTCTCTGACCCTCAACTCTACCAAGCATAATATTCTTCTCCAGGGAATGGTCCCTTCTGACAACATGACCACAGTCGGTGAGATGAAGTCTGGCCACTCTAGCTTCCAAAAGGCATTCCAGCTGTACTTCTTGCAGGACAGATTCATTCATTCTTCTGGCAGTCCATGGCATTTTCAGTATTCTTTGCCAACACCACAATTCAAAACTGAAAACTAAACTCAGTGCCACTGAGTTGATTCGACTCATAGCGACCTCTCCTCGGATTTCCGAGGTGGTATCTCTATGGAAGTAGATTGCCCAAGCTTCCTTCCGAAGAGTGGCTGGTGGGTTTGAACCAAGTATTCTTCGAGCTTCCTAATTCAAAGTCCAGCTTTCACATGCGCATGAGGCAATTGAAAATACTGTGGCTTGGGTCAGGCACACCTTAGTCTTAAAAGTGACATATTTGCTTCATAACACTTTAAAGAGGTCCCTTGCAGCAGATTTACCTGGTGTAATAAGACGTCTGATTTCTTAACTGCTACTTCCATGAGTTGGGTCAGACTCGATGGCACATAACAACAACAACAACTTCCATGAGTGTTGATTGTGGATCAAAGGAAAATGAAATTCCTGACAATTTCAATATTTTCTCCATTTATTGTGATGTTGCTTATTGTTCCAGTTGTGAGGATTTTTGTGTTCTTTATGCTGAGGTGTAATCCATACCGCAGACTATAGTCTTAAATCTTTATCAGTAAAAGCTTTAAGTCATCTTCACTTTCAGCAAGCAAGGTTGTGTCATCTGCATATTGCAGGTTATTAATGGTTCTTCCTTCAATCCCGATGCCACATTCTTCTTCATGTAGTCCCGCTTCATGGATTATTTGCTCAGCATACAGATTGAATAAATTTGGTGAAAGAATACAACCCTGATGCACATCCTTCCTGATTTTAAACCATGCACTATCCCCTTGTTCTGTTCGAATGACAGTCTCTTGGTCTATGTGCAGATTCCTCATGAGCATAATTACCAAAACCAAAAACTCACTACCGTTGAGTCAGATCCAACTCATGGTGACCCTTCCTTCGGTTTCTGAGGCCATATTACTACGGTAGTAGATTACCCCATCTTCCTTCCAATGAGTGGCTGGTGGGTTTGAACCGCTAACCTTCTGGTTAGCAGTCAAGTGCCTTAGGCACTATACCACCAGAGCTCCTGACCACAATTAGTGGTCTGGAATTTCCATTCTTTGCAATATTATCCATAATTTGTTATGATCCGTACAGTAGAATGCCTTTGTGTAGTCAATAAAACATAGATAAACATCTTTCGTTTCTGTAAAATGAGAGGCTGTGCCCTCTGAGATCCATAGTGACAAAGTGCCATGCATGAGAAAGTCCTTGATTTAAAAAAAAAACAAAAAACCTTACTGCCATTGAGTCAGATCCAACTCATAACGACCCCTCCTTGGGTTTCCGAGGCACATAACAACAACAAAACAATCACTACAGAAGTAAAGTGCCCAGTCTTCCTTCTGAGGAGTGGCTGGTGGATTTGAACCACTAGCCTTCTGGTTAGCAGTCAAATGCCTTAGGCATTATGCCACCAGAGGGTAACTAGCTCTGACTTTTAGCTCAGTAGCAACATCAGTTTGTTTGCTATCATTATTCATTTGCTAAACCATGAACTACTTTGGTTATGTTGTCACAAGGGACCATTCCCTGGAGAAGGATGTCATGCTTGGTAAGGTGAAGGGTCGACGAAAGAGGGGAAGGCCTTCAATGAGATAGATTGACACGGTGGCTGCAATGATGGGATCAAGTATAACAAGGATCATGGAGCTGGTGTAGGATCGGGTGGTGTTTCGTTCTGCTGTGCATAGAGTCGGAAATGACTCAATGGCATCTAACAAAAAACAACAACAAACCGTAGTAGGACACATTATGCCCTGGCTATAGACAGTTGATACATGGTTCCTGCCCTTCAGTTACTTACCA